AACCAGAAGAACTGAGCCTCATCTGCCTGGGTGGGTTATGATTGTTTTTTTCTAAATTTACGTCTGAGAGGTCACTGGCTGTCAACTCTGGCGGAAAGTTCTGGTTGTCATCCACTTCTGGACTTTAGTCTTATTGCAGGTCTGCAGTTCTTCGTGCACAACAGTTTTACAGATCTGACAGATTTATATGTACTCCGACTTCGAAGGAAAAACTCATAATTAGTGGCCTCCCATGACGTTTGCTCTTAGACAGCGGATGTATTCTTGTCCCCCACAATGGGGCCAAAGAAATTACACATGCGATTGTTCGTACACTTTATTGGGGGTAAGAGATGTCTGTAACTTTGACATTTTATCAGTGAATAAGTTGCTGCTACCTGTCCGTCTGTCAAGACACTGGTGTTATATTGTTTCATGAGGATACATGCGACTCACAACCTATGGCGATGACGAGTATGACTAGAAAACCCGGGTGTGTTAATTAGGTAACGACTTCAACAGTGAATTCATTGGGTTTCAACATAGAACAGGGTAGTGTGTAGGTAGTGTGTATGTAGTGTGCGTGTAGTGTGTATGTAGTGTGCAGGTAGTGTGTATGTAGTGTGTAGGTAGTGTGTATGTAGTGTGCGTGTAGTGTGTAGGTAGTGTGGGTGTAGTGTGTAGGTAGTGTGTATGTAGTGTGTAGGTAGTTGTGTAAGTAGTGTGCAGGTAGTTGTGTATGTAGTGTGTATGTAGTGTGTAGGTAGTGTATGTAGTGTGTAGGTAGTTGTGTATGTAGTGTGTATGTAGTGTGTAGGTAGTGTATGTAGTGTGTAGGTAGTGTATGTAGTGTGTAGGTAGTTGTGTATGTAGTGTGTATGTAGTGTGTAGTTGTAGTGTAGTAGTAGTTGTGTAGTAGTGTGTAGTTAGTGTGTAGTAGTAGGTAGTGTGTAGTAGTGTATGTAGTGTGTAGTAGTTGTAGTAGTAGTAGTGTAGTAGTGTAGTAGTTAGTTGTGTAGTAGTGTATGTAGTGTGTAGGTAGTGTAGTTAGTTAGTGTAGTAGTGTTTGTAGTAGTGTAGTGTTTGTAGTAGTTAGTATGTAGTTGTAGTAGTTAGTGTAGTAGTGTGTAGTTGTGTATGTAGTGTGTAGTAGTTGTAGTAGTAGTGTGTGTGTAGTGTGTAGTAGTGTAGTAGTGTGTAGTAGTAGTGTAGTGTATGTAGTGGTATGTAGTGTGTTAGTAGTGTGTTGTGTTAGTTAGTGTAGTAGTGTGTAGTTAGTGTATGTAGTGTAGTAGTGTAGTAGTGTGTAGTTTGTAGTGTAGTGTAGTGTGTTAGTTAGTTGTTAGTAGTTAGTAGTAGGTTAGTAGTAGTGTAGTAGTGTAGTTAGTTAGTGTGTTAGTAGTAGTTAGGTTAGTTGTAGTAGTTGTAGTGTAGTTAGTGTAGTAGTGTAGTAGTGTGTAGTGTAGTGTAAGTGGTAGTAGTAGTGTAGTAGTGTAGTAGTAGTAGTGTGTAGTAGTTAGTTAGTTAGTAGTTAGTAGTAGTAGTAGTAGTTAGTTTAGGTTGTAGTAGTTAGTGTTAGTAGTAGTAGTGTGTAGTTGTGTAGTGTAGTAGTGTAGGTAGTGTGTAGTTAGTGTATGTAGTGTGTAGTAGTGTATAGTTGTGTGTAGTAGTGTGTAGTAGTGTGTAGTAGTATAGTGTTAGTAGTAGTTTGTTAGTAGTAAGTTAGTTGTGTAGTAGTAGTAGTAGTAGTGTAGTGTAGTTAGTAGTTAGTGTAGGTAGTAGTAGTGTAGTAGTTGTTAGTAGTGTGGTAGTTTAGTAGTTAGTGTTAGTGTTAGTAGTTAGTTAGTGTAGTTTGTAGTGTTAGTAGTAGTGTAGTAGTAGTTAGTAGTAGTAGTAGTAGTTAGTAGTAGTAGTTGTAGTAGTAGTGTGTAGGGTAGTGTGTAGTAGTAGTAGTGTAGTTAGGTAGTAGTAGTAGTTAGTGTGTAGTAGTTTGTGTTTTAGTTAGTAGTAGTTAGTGTAGTTTAGTGTAGTAGTATTAGTAGTAGTGTAGTTAGTTAGTTAGTGTAGTAGTAGTAGTAGTAGTAGTGTTAGTAGTAGTTAGTAGTTAGTGTTGTTAGTGTAGTAGGTAGTGTTAGTTAGTAGTAGTAGTTAGTAGTAGTGTAGTAGTGTGTGTAGGTAGTGTAGTAGTAGTAGTAGTGTAGTAGTAGTAGTAGTAGTGTTAGTTAGTGTAGTGTGTAGTAGTAGTAGTTGTAGTTAGTAGTAGTAGTAGTAGTGTTAGTAGTTGTAGGTAGTAGTAGTAGTAGTTGTAGTTAGTAGTTAGTTAGTAGTAGTGTTAGTAGTTGTAGTAGTAGTAGTGTAGTATGTAGTGTGTAGTGTGTAGTAGTAGTAGTTAGTAGTTAGTAGTGTAGTAGTAGTAGTAGTTAGTGTGTAGGTAGTGTATGTAGTTGTTAGTAGGTAGTTTAGGTAGTAGTAGTAGTTAGTTTAGTGTAGTAGTAGTAGTAGGTAGTTGTATGTTAGTGTGTAGTAGTAGTAGTAGTGTGTAGTAGTTATGTAGTAGTAGGTTAGTTATGTAGTAGTTGTTAGTAGGTGTAGTAGTAGTAGTTAGTAGTTGTAGTAGTGTAGTAGTAGTAGTTAGTTGTAGTAGTTAGTGTTAGTGTTAGGGTAGTAGTTAGTTGTAGTAGTGTAGTTAGTAGTAGTAGTTAGTGTAGTGTTTAGTAGTAGTAGGTAGTGTTAGTAGTGTAGTTGTTTAGTAGGTAGTGTTTGTATGTAGTTGTATAGTAGTTGTGTAGTAGTAGTGTAGTGTGTAGTTAGTGTAGTAGTAGTAGTAGGGTTAGTGTAGTGTGTAGTAGTGTAGTGTGTAGTAGTTAGGTAGTGTTGTAGGTAGTGTATGTAGTGTGTAGTAGTGTATGTTAGTGTGTAGTAGTAGTTGTAGTGTGTAGTTAGTTTAGTAGTAGTAGTTAGTTAGGGTGTAGTGTGTAGGGTAGTGTATGTAGTGTGTAGGTAGTAGTAGTAGTAGTGTGTAGTAGTAGTGTAGGTTAGTTGTAGTAGTAGTGTTAGTAGTAGTTGTGTAGTAGTGTGTGTTAGTTAGGTAGTGTGTATGTAGTGTTGTAGTAGTTGTGTTAGTAGTGTTTTAGTAGTAGTAGTGTAGTTAGTAGTAGTAGTAGTAGTAGTAGTAGTTAGTAGTTAGTGTAGTAGTTAGTAGTAGTGTGTTAGTAGTTAGTAGTAGTAGTTAGTAGTGTAGTGGTTAGTGTAGTTGTAGGTTAGTAGTTAGTTAGTGTTAGTAGTAGTTGTTGTGTAGTAGTGTAGTAGTGTGTAGTAGTAGTAGTGTAGTGTTAGTTAGTGTGTAGTAGTTAGTAGTGTAGTGTAGTTAGTGTGTAGTGTAGTAGTAGTTAGTTAGTGTGTAGTAGTAGTAGTAGTAGTGTAGGGTAGTGTAGTAGTAGTTAGTTGTAGTGTTAGTAGTAGTGTAGTTAGTAGTGTAGTAGTAGTGTAGGTAGTGTGTAGTAGTGTAGTAGTTAGTAGTGTGTAGTGTAGTGTGTAGGTAGTGTTAGTTAGTGGTTAGGTTAGGTATTAGTGTGTAGTAGTGTAGTAGTGTTAGTGTTAGTGTAGGTAGTAGTTAGGTAGTGTATGTAGTAGTGTAGGTAGTGTATTGTAGTAGTGTAGTGTTAGTAGTAGTAGTTAGTGTAGGGTAGTGTAGTAGTAGTAGTAGTGTAGTAGTGTAGTAGTTAGGTAGTGTGTAGTAGTAGTAGTAGGTAGTAGTAGTAGTAGTGTAGTAGTGTAGTAGTGTAGTTAGTAGTAGTGTAGTGTAGTGTAGTTTGTGTATGTAGTGTAGTAGGTAGTGTATGTAGTGTGTAGTAGTAGTGTAGTGTAGTTGTGTAGTAGTAGTATGTAGTAGTGTAGGTAGTGTATGTAGTGTATAGGTAGTTGTGTATGTAGTGTGTAGGTAGTGTGTTGTGTGTGTAGTTAGTGTATGTAGTGTGTAGGTAGTGTATGTAGTGTGTAGGTAGTGTATGTAGTGTGTAGGTAGTTGTGTATGTAGTGTGTATGTAGTGTGTAGGTAGTGTATGTAGTGTGTAGGTAGTGTATGTAGTGTGTAGGTAGTGTATGTAGTGTGTAGGTAGTGTATGTAGTGTGTAGGTAGTGTATGTAGTGTGTAGGTAGTGTATGTAGTGTGTATAGTAGTTGTAGTATGTAGTGTTAGTTGTAGTAGTGTGTAGTAGTGTAGTGTAGTGTGTAGTTGTAGTGTATGTAGTGTGTAGTAGTGTATGTAGTGTGTAGGTAGTGTATGTAGTAGTGTGTAGTAGTAGTAGTAGTAGTAGTTGTAGTAGTAGTAGTGTATGTAGTAGTGTGTAGTAGTGTGTAGGCAGTGTATGTGTAGTGTGTAGGTAGTGTGTATGTAGTGTGTAGGTAGTGTAGTAGTGTGTAGTAGTGTAGTAGGTAGTGTAGTAGTGTTTGTAGTGTGCATGTAGTGTGTAGGTAGTGTATGTAGTGTGTATGCAGTGTGTACGCAGTGTATGTGTAGTGTGTATGTAGTGTATGCAGTGTGTACGCAGTGTATGTGTAGTGTGTATGTAGTGTGTATGTAGTGTGTACGCAGTGTGTAGGCAGTGTATGTGTAGTGTGTAGGTAGTGTGCGTGTAGTGTGTAGGTACTGTGTATGTAGTGTGTATGCAGTGTGTGTGTAGTGTGTAGGTAGTGTGCATGTAGTGTGTAGGTAGTGTATGTAGTGTGTATGCAGTGTGTACGCAGTGTATGTGTAGTGTGTATGTAGTGTATGTAGTGTGTAGGTAGTGTGTATGTAGTGTGTAGGTAGTGTGTATGTAGTGTGTATGTAGTGTGTAGGTAGTGTGTATGTAGTGTGTATGTAGTGTGTATGTAGTGTGTATGTAGTGTGTATGTAGTATGATACTGCTATTACTACAAATATATGTACAAGCAGGCTAACAAAGAGTGCCCATCAGCGACTAGTGCTCCTCCAGTTGTGGTCACCGACCACTGACCACTGACGTTTGGCTGTGACTTGGTCAAACGGCAGTCAGCTCATCATGGTCATCGACAGGTTTAGTTACCACTACGATGTCCTTCTGACCCAGCACCTGCAGAAACAAAACTGGCGTCAAGGTCTAGTCTAGTCTAGAGATGTTGGCATTGTGTCGAGTATAGGACTCAGAGGTCTAGTCTTGAGCTGTTGGCATTGTGTCGAGTATAGGAGTCAAGGGCTAGTCTAGAGATGTTGACATTGTGTCGAGTATAGGAGTCAAAGGTCTAGTCTAGAGATGTTGGCATTGTGTCGAGTATAGGAGTCAAGGTCTAGTCTTGAGCTGTTGGCATTGTGTCGAGTATAAGACTCAAAGGGCTAGTCTAAAGCTGTTGGCATTGTATCGAGTATAAGAGTCAAGGACTAGTCTAGAGCTGTTGGCATTGTATCGAGTATAGGGGTCAAGAGCTAGTCTAGAGTTGTTGGCATTGTATCGAGTATAGGAGTCATGGGCTAGTCCAGAGATGTTGGCATTGTGTCGAGTATAGGAGTCAAGGGCTAGTCCAGAGCTGTTGGCATTGTGTCGAGTATAGGAGTCAAGGACTAGTCTAGAGCTGTTGGCATTATGTCGAGTATAGGACTCAAGGTCTAGTCTAAAGCTGTTGGTATTGTATCGAGTATAGGAGTCAAGGGGCTAGTCTAGGGCTGTTGGCATTGTGTCGAGTATAGGAGTCAAGGTCTAGTCTAGAGATGTTGACATTGTGTCGAGTATAGGAGTCAAGGGCTAGTCTAGAGCTGTTGGCATTGTGTCGAGTATAGGAGTCAAGGGCTAGTCTAGAGATGTTGACATTGTGTCGAGTATAGGAGTCAAGGGCTAGTCTAGAGCTGTTGGCATTATGTCGAGTATAGGACTCAAAGGGCTAGTCTAAAGCTGTTGGCATTGTATCGAGTATAGGAGTCAAGGACTAGTCTAGAGCTGTTGGCATTATGTCGAGTATAGGACTCAAAGGGCTAGTCTAAAGCTGTTGGCATTGTATCGAGTATAGGAGTCAAGGACTAGTCTAGAGCTGTTGGCATTGTGTCGAGTATAGGAGTCAAGGTCTAGTCTAGAGATGTTGACATTGTGTCCAGCATAAGACACTTCAACTATAGACAATGTCGAGTGCAGGACATTTTAACTTTACACAATGTCGAGGTCACGACATTTCAACTTAACACAATGTCGAGTGCAGGACATTTTAACTTTATACAATGTCGAGGTCACGACATTTTAACTTAACACAATATAGAGTGCAGGACATTTCAACTTTACACAATGTCGAGTGCACAACATTTCAACTTTACACAATGTCGAGTGCAGGACATTTTAACCATAGACAGAAACGAGTATAGGACATTTCAGCTATAGACAGTGTCAATTGTAGGACATTGAAACAATAGACAGTGCCGAGTGTAGTACCTTGAAACTATTGATAGTGTCAATTGTAGGACATTGAAACAATAGACAGTGCCGAGTGTTGTACCTTGAAACTATTGATAGTGTCAATTGTAGGACATTGAAACAATAGACAGTGCCGAGTGTTGTACCTTGAAACTATTGATAGTGTCAATTGTAGGACATTGAAACAATAGACAGTGCCGAGTGTTGTACCTTGAAACTATTGATAGTGTCAATTGTAGGACATTGAAACAATAGACAGTGCCGAGTGTTGTACCTTGAAACTATTGATAGTGGCAATTGTAGGACATTGAAACAATAGACTGTGCCGAGTGTTGTACCTTGAAACTATTGATAGTGTCAATTGTAGGACATTGAAACAATAGACAGTGCCGAGTGTTGTACCTTGAAACTATTGATAGTGGCAATTGTAAGACATTGAAACAATAGACAGTGCCGAGTGTTGTACCTTGAAACTATTGATAGTGGCAATTGTAGGACATTGAAACAATAGACAGTGCCGAGTGTTGTACCTTGAAACTATTGATAGTGGCAATTGTAGGACATTGAAACAATAGACAGTGCCGAGTGTAGTACCTTGAAACTATTGATAGTGGCAATTGTAGAGGTAGGTATAAACTATTGTCAAACTTGTTGTCACCTTCACTTAATATTCATGTACTCTCTCTAGTGGCTCTCATTATGATTTTAGTTTACCGACAGAGATCACGTGATAAGAAAATATCTTTTCTATATACTTCATCATTTTCGCCTCAGCCCTGCCCCCTCTTTTTCCCCCGATATATATGTCGTTTATTGGCAAATGTGTTCTTTCAGTTATAATTCTGCTGTGTTCCGCATAGGTGGTGATATTCCAACACTTTGAACACACAATTATCGGTTAGTTAGTTAGTGAGTCGACAGATCCTCCCCCACTGCTCAGCGAACCATTCAGTCCATAAGTGCTCGAATCGCCTCCTCTGTTTACTGATTCAAGAATCATACGTATAAGCACACTTATAGATACTCCGTCTCCAGCAGCAAATGTCTTCACGTGTAGAGGCTAACTGTAAGACACTGAGTGGTTTCTTTTCTCTCATGCGCCCCTGCTTGCCGGATCCACACATCATGTCTCGTTAACACATTCTTACACTCATTACTTCAGATAAATCCCTGTCTTCTATCAGCACTGGGACATAAATGGTGACATTTAGAATGTTTGCTTTGTCCAATATATGTGTTTCCGCAGTTATCGCTTTTTGTGGCCATAGAATCGGCTCTTTCATTCCCCCGCACACCTACATTTCCTGGATAGCACCTGAGTTCCTGTACTGGTCACGTGCTAAGACATGGTATCCACTCAAGCCACCTTATCCATTTGGAACCTTCCGCAGTACCCACTGAGAATCAGAAATTATAATTCCTCTGATACCATTTATTTTCGCGCTATACACTTCACAGCTACAGTGATTGCCTCCACCTCCACACCCACAATCATGATCAGAGATCATTCACAGTCATCATTTGCTTCTTGCAGTGTAACCATGACTGCACATTCACAGTCATCACTTGCTTCTTGCAGTGTAACCATGACTGCACATTCACAGTCATCACTTGCTTCTTGCAGTGTAACCATGACTGCACATTCACAGTCATCACTTGCTTCTTGCAGTGTAACCATGACTTAAAATTCACAGTCATCACTTGTTTCTTGCAGTGTAACCATGACTGCACATTCACAGTCATCACTTGCTTCTTGCAGTGTAACCATGACTGCACATTTACAGTCATCACTTGCTTCTTGCAGTGTAACCATGACTGCACATTCACAGTCATCACTTGCTTCTTGCAGTGTAACCATGGCTGCACATTCACAGTCATCACTTGCTTCTTGCAGTGTAACCATGGCTACACATTCACAGTCAATCACTTGCTTCTTGCAGTGTAACCATGGCTACACATTCACAGTCATCACTCTTTTCTTGCAGTGTAACCATGGCTGTACATTCACAGTCATCACCTGCTTCTTGCAAACTCGAGAACTCATCCAGCAAATCCGTCTGGTCAATGGCCGGCCAGCCCTGGACAATTGTCCTACCTGCAAGCCTGTCAGCTTGCTTATCTCCGTCCGTCTGGTCAATGGCCGGCCAGCCCTGGACAGTTGTCCTACCTGCAAGCCTGTCAGCTTGCTTATCTCCGTCCGTCTGGTCAATGGCTGGCCTGCCCTGGACAGTTGTCCTACCTGCAAGCCTGTCATGTTGCTTATCTCCGTCCGTCTGGTCAATGGCTGGCCAGCCCTGGACAGTTGTCCTACCTGCAAGCCTGTCAGCTTGCTTATCTCCGTCCGTCTGGTCAATGGCCGGCCAGCCCTGGACAGTTGTCCTACCTGCAAGCCTGTCAGCTTGCTTATCTCCGTCCGTCTGGTCAATGGCCGGCCAGCCCTGGACAGTTGTCATACCTGCAAGCCTGTCAGCTTGCTTATCTCCGTCCGTCTGCCTAGAGTGGCATTAACATTTCACTGATCATTGTCAGCTGAGTCCGGCTCAAAAACACAACCACTGTCTTGGAACCCAAACCATCTGTATCTTCCTAAGCAGACTTATTGGTCACCAAATCCTCGGTGTCACCTATACAATCATAAGTGCAGGATTTTGTGTGTCAGTTGATCAGTACACTAATGCCTGCATTTTGTACACTGTATTATTTGTCCGTTTCCTTTTCACAAATCTGTAATTTTCTTCACAAGTCTCTATTGTTCTGCTCATTCTTTTCATTATCACTGCATGTCCCCAGACTGGCTTTCTCTTCTCTTTGTCACTGCATGTCCCTAGATTGTTTAATGTCTTCTCATTGTCAATGCATGTCCCTAGATTCTTGATGTCTTCTCATTGTCACTGCATGTCCCTAGATTGTTTATGTCTTCTCATTGTCACTGCACGTCCCCAGACTGGGTATGTCTTCTCATTGTCACTGCATGTCCCCAGCCTAAGTATGTGTTCTCATTGTCACTGCATGTCCCCAGACTGTGTATGTCTTCTCATTGTCACTGCATGTCTCCAGCCTGGGTATGTCTTCTCATTGTCACTGCTTGACCCCAGACTGGCTTCGTCTTCTCATTGTCACTGCATGTCTCCAGACTGGCTTTCTCTTCTCATTGTCACTGCATGTCGACTACACTGGCTTCGTCTTCTCATTGTCACTGCATGTCCCCACACTGGCTTCGTCTTCTCATTGTCCCTGCATGTCTCCACACTGGCTTCGTCTTCTCATTGTCACTGCATGTCCCCACACTGGCTTCGTCTTCTCATTGTCCCTGCATGTACCCAGACTAGCCATGTCTTTGCTGACTGATCAGGTTTACCTTCACGTAGAACATGCCATCTCGTTGCTTGCTGTGTTCTTCTTTGGCCACTTTAGCAATCCGGTAACTGAGGACCACAGACGCCATACACACGAGGATCTCTGTACCCGCCGCCGCCAAGGAAACATAGATGAGGATATCCTGTGATCAGACAACACACAGTGAGTCATTGGTGAGTTTATCATGTCATCATTCAATATACTTTGAGTCATTGATGAGTTTATCATGTAATCATACAAAACACTGTAAGTCATTGATGAGAATCTCCTGGAATCATACAATATACAGTGAGTCATTGATGAGGATATCCTGTGACCATACAATATACTGTGAGTCATTGATGAGTTTATCATGTAATCATACAAAATAATGTAAGTCATTGATGCGGATCTCCTGTAATCATACAATATACTGTGAGTCATTGATGAGGATATCCTGTGACCATACAATATACTGTGAGTTATTGATGAGTTTACCATGTAACCATACAATAGGCTGTGAGTCATTGAGTTTATCATGTAATCATACAATATACGGTGAGTTATTGATGAGGTTATCATGTAACCATACAATATACGGTGAGTTGTTGATGAGTTTATAATGTAACCATACAATATATGGTGAGTTATTGATGAGGTTATCCAGTAACCATACAATATACTGTGAGTCATTGATGAGGTTATCCTGTAATCATACAATATTCAGTGAGTTTTTGATGAGTTTATCATGTAATCATGCAACATACTGTGAGTCATTGATGATGTTATCCTGTAATCATACAATAGGTTGTGCATAAATGATGAGGATATCCTGTAATCAAACTATAAACTCTGAATCATTGATGAGATTATCTTGTAATCATACAATATACCGTGCTTTATATATGAAGATATCATGTAATCATACAATATACTGTGGGCGAATAATGCGAATATCATTTAATCATACAATATTGTCTGCGTCACTGGTAAGGATAACTGTTGTACTCTTATTATCCCCCGGGTTACACTGTGGGCTCAGGGATCACTCGTTTAGATTAATTCAGGTCATGTTAATTTTTTCGCACCGATACTTGTGAGTATCCGAAAACAACCATTTATGTAAGTCAAGATGACTACTCTGATATGCCACTGGATCTCTCCTCGATGGACGTGCTGCTAAAACGTGCAGTCCTATGTAATTTATCACTTGGGCACATTTGACCCAACAGAGGCAAACACAACTGTGGTTATCTCAAAGAGTCAGCATTAACGTGACAGGCCACATAATCTTTAATATCATTCACATAAAGTACATGGCACAAGATGATGATGATAATGTATGTATGATAATAGGACTCTATTATCTTCACTGGCAATCTTAACAATGAACACACTCCATTCAGTATACTCCAGCTAACTGCGGTAAAGAACAAAACCTCACTAAGGAAACCTTACAACATCCTCATGAATAGAACAGAACGCACAGTCGTTCCGCGATCTCGCGGAAAACAACGACCAACCGGGAAGGTTAACAAAATTTCAACTTTCTCCCTTCTGCTTCTACAATCTCTCCCCGGAATTCAATTCGGTCTAATAAATACATTCACCTGTTCTAGCAGGGTAATGCATTCGCACGTAAAACACAAATTCATTATCACAGTTTATTCTTCAAGGACTAACATTCTAAGTACATCAATATAATCAACTCTGAACTATTCTTGGCATATCATAAGGAGACCACATTACAAACGAGGAAGCTCGCCATAAAATTATACAGCACATTGGCAACTACGAACCTCTGTTAACTACGGTGAAAAAGGCGGAAAGGGCAATAGTATGGACATGTAATAAGATCTAACGGCTTCTCAAAAACAATACTACAGGGCTTATTAGAGGGAAAGAGGAGAAGAGGCAGACCAAGAAAGACCTGGTTACAGAATCTGAATGATTGGACAGGCCTCTATTATCCATGATTACCCCCCCCCCCCCCCCCCCGTCTCTCTCTTTTTTTGGGGGGATGATTCTATCTGTTATTTCGAATGAATCAAGCATTGCAACGCCAAACTCTGTATTTTCTAAAGAACCAATACGTCTTGACCTGTGACTCTCGCCTTGCTGCTCATGTATAGTTTATGAGTCGCCCAGATAAGACTAGTCTAGTTTGAGAATGGAGGTGGAGACAGTCTCTGCTGCCTTCCGCTGGCTTGAGAATCAGCTGTACACACATGCTGTGACTGTTACTGACTTCCTAAACATGTTAGGAAAGGCATACTTCGAGCAGAGTGGCAAGCGTCACTTCAGAGGTCCCGGGTAGTTAGCATCCTTTGGCTATTTTCTCAAGGTGATGTCGGTGTGTTGGAAAATGAACAAGCAGATAGAATGGCCAGTTCTGCACCACTTGGTGGTAAACTGATGTAGGACAAGTTAGATATTGTGAGGGCCCTTTGGGAACGAGTGAACAGTGAGGAGGCACCGATAGATCAATATGGTTTGAAGAGAATTGATCTGCGAGTAGCTAACAGGGGATCTGGCCGACGCTCCATACTTAAGGCAAGGATGAGACGGAAATTCAATAAGACGGTTACTGGTGTCATCGGAATTAGAACTCCTAACTGGCTTCTGAAGATGGGGACGGTGCACTTATTGGAGTGTCCCGAATTCTGTGATGTCGATTCCTAATTCAACCTACAGCATCCAGAAAAGACTACCACAAAAACCTGTAATCATGTAACATCTAACCAGCTCAAGCTGAGCATTTCCTGTTTGACCGACAGAACAGCCCAACACTCAGCATGGCTAATGATACTATTTCAGTCATGTCTCAGATCGTTGGTACATAAAGTCTTTTATTTAACAATACATGTCGTAGGTAGCTGCTGCGTGTGAAAGTTTCAGCTCAAGCTATCCTTTCACTCAATGTTAAAGTAGGTATGGGGATATTAAAACATTAGAAGAGAACGACGCAATTTTTAATGAGAAGGATGAAACTGATTGGCTCTAACATAATTTATTTTTTTCATTTTGAAAACAAATCAACCGCTGCCATTTTAACCTGCTACATTATATTGAGAAAGGTACACATTATCAAATGGTCTCTCTCATTCTCTCTCTCTCTCTCTCTCTCTCTCTCTCTCTCTCTCTCTCTCTCTCTCTCTCTCTCTCTCTTTATATATATATATATATATATATATATATATATATATATATATATATATATATATATATATATATATATTTCTTTATACCGCTTTCTTTTTGTTCTTTTCAATGCTTTCTGGATACACCTAAGGCTGTTACCGCCCCCTCCCCCCTAAACCGTCCCCAGCACCCCCCCCCCCCCCCCCCTCATGGAGCGTCCCAGCGCTCCCAAATTTGATGTCGGTATGTGTCTGAGTGTGTTTTGCGTCTGTGTATCTGTGTTTTTTATATGTGCATGTGTTATATATGTGAGTACATGATGTGTTTGTATGTGTGCACGTGTTGCTTATTTGTGTATATATGTTTGTAGGAGTGGGTGCTTATGTGTGTGTATGTGTGTATGTGTTGTGGCAGTGTGTTATCAGTGTGTGTGTGTGTGTGTGTATGTGTTGTGGCAGTGTGTTATCAGTGTGTGTGTGTATGTCTGTATATGTATGGGGATATTAAAACATTAGAAGAGAACGACGCAATTTTTAATGAGAAGGATGAAACTGATTGGCTCTAACATAATTTATTTTTTTCATTTTGAAAACAAATCAACCGCTGCCATTTTAACCTGCTACATTATATTGAGAAAGGTACACATTATCAAATGGTCTCTCTCATTCTCTCTCTCTCTCTCTCTCTCTCTCTCTCTCTCTCTCTCTCTCTCTCTCTTTCTTTATATATATATATATATATATATATATATATATATATATATATATATATATATTTCTTTATACCGCTTTCTTTTTGTTCTTTTCAATGCTTTCTGGATACACCTAAGGCTGTTACCGCCCCCTCCCCCCTAAACCGTCCCAGCACCCCCCCCCTCATGGAGCGTCCCAGCGCTCCCAAATTTGATGTCGGTATGTGTCTGAGTGTGTTTTGCGTCTGTGTATCTGTGTTTTTTATATGTGCATGTGTTATTTATGTGAGTACATGATGTGTTTGTATGTGTGCACGTGTTGCTTATTTGTGTATATATGTTTGTAGGAGTGGGTGCTTATGTGTGTGTATGTGTGTATGTGTTGTGGCAGTGTGTTATCAGTGTGTGTGTGTGTGTGTGTATGTGTTGTGGCAGTGTGTTATCAGTGTGTGTGTGTATGTCTGTATATGTTGTGGCAGTGTGTGTTATCAGTATATGTGTGTGTATGTCTGTATATGTTGTGGCAGTGTGTGTTATCAGTATGTGTGTGTATGTTTGTATATGTTGTGGCAGTGTGTGTTATCAGTATGTGTGTGTGTGTTTGTATGTGTTGTGGCAGTGTGTTATCAGTGTGTGTGTGTGTGTCTCCGTGCGTGTAAGTGAGCTTGTGTTTGTACGTCTGCTATGCTGTGTGTGTGTGTTTTTCACACACACACTCATAATATATATATAATGTCAAATGAACGCTGAAATTTTGCTTAAAAAAATGTATTACAGAATAGTAAACATCCTTTACTTAGTCAGTCTGTGGTAACTAATATTAGGAATGAAAGTATTCTTAGTTTTATAACAAGTAACTAAACTTGTAAATTGTCACCGACAGCTTAGTTAATCCATGAAAGCGGCATTAGCTTTAAAAAAAATCGTTACATGTTGTCAGCATTAAGACAGCTTCTTGTCTCACTGAAGGTATTTCCAGCTGTACTAAACAGACGTTCACTTGGTACGCTCGTAGGTGGTGCACAAAGATAACGCTTGACAGTATGAACCAACGTGGGAAATTTTGATATGTTTATTTGCCACCAGTCCCGAAACAGGTGTAATGTAACCACTATTTGTATTCGGCCTGACCGCGGGAAACGTAAATAACACCTAAAAGACTATTGTCGTTTGAAACTTTTTTTTTTAAACCAAATGTAAGACAGGCCTGCGTTCCCAATTTGTAACTTTCGGAAAAAAAGTTGATTCGTTCTGTTTGCTTGCCGCCCAGATTTAAATTGCATAAACAACCCTTCAAGTAGTAGTCCAGGGATAGGACAACTAGAAGTGGGGCGATTACTGGTGGATTCCAACCCTCACTACACAACTAGCATCAGTCTCGTACGGTTTATTTAATAATATTTTAGAAGGCGAATCAGGCTGTCTGGCATTTGTCCTGCTGATTGATGTCCACGAGTTGGCTCATCGGTTCACTGCGATATCAAACCTTCGAGTGGCACTCACATGGGGGGGGGGGGGGGAGGTCTGCTATTAGGTGGAATTGCCCCAGTGCTACACAACCATCGCAAACACCGGACCTCTGGTTTGTACTAGTTCCCTGGGAGAAAGTACACAACCCTCACAAACACCAGAACCTCTGGTTTGTACCAGTTCCCTGGGAGAAAGTACACAACCCTCACAAACACCGGACCTCTGGTTTGTACTAGTTCCCTGGGAGAAAGTACACAACCCTCGCAAACACCAGAACCTCTGGTTTGTACTAGTTCCCTGGGAGAAAGTACACAACCCTCACAAACACCAGAACCTCTGGTTTGTACTAGTTCCCTGGGAGAAAGTACACAACCCTCACAAACACCAGAACCTCTGGTTTGTACTAGTTCCCTGTGAGAAAGTACACAACCCTCACAAACACCGGACCTCTGGTTTGTACTATTTCCCTGGGAGAAAGTACACAAACCTCGCAAACACCAGAACCTCTGGTTTGTACTATTTCCCTGGGAGAAAGTAAACAAACCTCGCAAACACCAGAACCTCTGGTTTGTACTAGTTCCCTGGGAGAAAGTACACAACCCTCACAAACACTGGACCTCTGGTTTGTACTTGATCACTGGGAGAAAGTGGGAAATACTGTCCTCCGTGACTCACCTTCTTCTCCTTCTGGAACGTGTGTCCGTCCGTGGTGTGGTTGACCAGGCCCACCCTCAGCAGCTGGATACTGACCACAGCTACCACCATGGACACCACGGAGAAGGCAGTGAATGACATGATCTGTGAGAGACACCGGACAATACATCATGAACAACACATAACACACATAGGACAATACATCATGAACAACATATAACACACATAGGACAATACATCATGAACAACACAGACACAGGACACCACGGAGAAGGCAGTGAATGACATGATCTGTGAGAGATACGGGAAAATACCCCATGAACATTACACGCACAGGACAGTACCTAATGAACATAACACACACAGAACAGTACCCCATGAATATTACAGACACAGGACAGTACCTCATGAACATAACACACACACAGGACAGTACCTCATGAACATAAAACACACAGAACAAAACCCGATAAATATTACAGACACAGGACAGTACCTCATGAACATAACACACACAGAACAAAACCCCATAAATATTACAGACACAGGACAGTACCTCATGAACATAACACACACAGAACAAAACCCCATAAATATTACAGACACAGGACAGTACCTCATGAACATAACACACACAGGACAGTACCTCATGAACATTACAGACAAAGGACAGTACCTCATAAAACTTACAGACAAAGGACAGTACCTCATAAACATTACAGACAAAGGACAGTACGTTATGAACATTACATACACAGGACAGTATCACGTGAATATTACTGCGCTATGAGCATGTTACTGTGATGGTATGGTTACTGTGCTATGAGCATGTTACTGTGATGGTATGGTTACTGTGCCATGAGCATGTTACTGTGATGGTATGGTTACTGTGCCATGAGCATTTTACTGTGATGGTATGGTTACTGAGCTATAAGCATGTTACTGTGATGGTATGGTTACTGCGCTATGAGCATGTTACTGTGATGGTATGGTTACTGTGCCATGAGCATGTTACTGTGATGGTATGGTTACTGCGCTATGAGCATGTTACTGTGATGGTATGGTTACTGAGCTATGAGCATGTTACTGTGATGGTATGGTTACTGTGCTATGAGCATGTTACTGTGATGGTATGGTTACTGTGCCATGAGCATTTTACTGTGATGGTATGGTTACTGCGCTATAAGCATGTTACTGTGATGGTATGGTTACTGTGCCATGAGCATTTTACTGTGATGGTATGGTTACTGCGCTATAAGCATGTAACTGTGATGGTATGGCTACTGTGCCATGAGCATGTTACTGTGATGGTATGGTTACTGTGCTATGAGCATGTTACTGTGATGGTATGGTTACTGCGCTATGAGCATGTTACTGTGATGGTATGGTTACTGAGCTATGAGCTATGGTTACTGAGCTATGAGCATGTTACTGTGATGGTATGGTTACTGAGCTATGAGCATGTTACTGTGATGGTATGGTTACTGAGCTATGAGCATGTTACTGTGATGGTATGGTTACTGCGCTGAGAGCATTTTACTGTGATGGTATGGTTACTGTGCTATGAGCATGTTACTGTGATGGTATGGTTACTGTGCCATGAGCATTTTACTGTGATGGTATGGTTACTGCGCTATAAGCATGTTACTGTGATGGTATGGTTACTGCGCTATAAGCATGTTACTGAGATGGTATGGTTACTGAGCTATAAGCATGTTACTGTGATGGTATGGTTACTGAGCTATAAGCATGTTACTGTGATGGTATGGTTACTGAGCTATAAGCATGTTACCATGATGGTATGGTTACTGAGCTATAAGCATGTTACTGTGATGGTATGGTTACTGCGTTATAAGCATGTTACTGTGATGGTATGGTTACTGAGCTATAAGCATGTTACTGTGATGGTATGGTTACTGTGCCATGAGCATTTTACTGTGATGGTATGGTTACTGCGCCATGAGCATGCTACTGTGATGGTATGGTTACTGAGCTATAAGCATGTTACTGTGATGGTATGGTTACTGTGCTGCCATGTTACTGTGATGGTATGGTTACTGTGCCATGAGCATGTTACTGTGATGGTATGGTTACTGAGCTATAAGCATGTTACTGTGATGGTATGGTTACTGAGCTATAAGCAGGTTACTGTGATGGTATGGTTACTGGGCTATAAGCATGTTACTGTGATGGTATGGTTACTGTGCTATGAGCATGTTACTGTGATGGTATGGTTACTGTGCCATGAGCATTTTACTGTGATGGTATGGTTACTGTGCTATAAGCATTGTACTGTGATGGTATGGTTACTGAGCTATGAGCATGTTACTGTGATGGTATGGTTACTGCGCTATGAGCATGTTACTGTGATGGTATGGTTACTGTGCTATGAGCATGTTACTGTGATGGTATGGTTACTGCGCTAAAAGCATGTTACTGTGATGGTATGGTTACTGTGCCATGAGCATTTTACTGTGATGATATGGTTACTGTGCTATGAGCATGTTACTGTGATAGTATGGTTACTGGGCTATAAGCATGTTACTGTGATGGTATGGTTACTGCGCTATAAGCATGTTACTGTGATGGTATGGTTACTGCGCTATGAGCAAGTTACTGTGATGGTATGGTTACTGAGCTATAAGCATGTTACTGTGATGGTATGGTTACTGTGCTATGAGCCTGTTACTGTGATGGTATATTTTTACTGTGCCATGAGCATTTTACTGTGATGGTATGGTTACTGTGCTATAAGCATGTTACTGTGATGGTATGGTTACTGAGCTATAAGCATGTTACTGTGATGGTATGGTTACTGCGCTATGAGCATGTTACTGTGATGGTATGGTTACTGAGCTATAAGCATGTTACTGTGATGGTATGGTTACTGTGCTATGAGCATGTTACTGTGATGGTATGGTTACTGTTCTATAAGCATGTTACTGTGATGGTTACTGTGCTGATGGTATGTTTACTGTGATGGTATGGTTACTGTGCCATGAGCATTTTACTGTGATGGTATGGTTACTGCGCTATAAGCATAAGCATGTATGGTTACTGTGATGGTATGGTTACTGTGCCATGAGCATTTTACTGTGATGGTATGGTTACTGTGCTATGAGCATGTTACTGTGATGGTATGGTTACTGTGCTATGAGCATGTTACTGTGATGGTATGGTTACTGTGCTATGAGCATGTTACTGTGATGGTATGGTTACTGTGCTATGAGCATGTTACTGTGATGGTATGGTTACTGAGCTATGAGCATGTTACTGTGATGGTATGGTTACTGAGCTATGAGCATGTTACTGTGATGGTATGGTTACTGAGCTATGAGCATGTTACTGTGATGGTATGGTTACTGCGCTATGAGCATGTTACTGTGATGGTATGGTTACTGTGCTATGAGCATGTTACTGTGATGGTATGGTTACTGTGCCATGAGCATTTTACTGTGATGGTATGGTTACTGCGCTATAAGCATGTTACTGTGATGGTATGGTTACTGCGCTATAAGCATGTTACTGTGATGGTATGGTTACTGCATGTGTTACTGTGATGGTATGGTTACTGAGCTATAAGCATGTTACTGTGATGGTATGGTTACTGAGCTATAAGCATGTTACTGTGATGGTATGGTTACTGAGCTATAAGCATGTTACTGTGATGGTATGGTTACTGCGCTATAAGCATGTTACTGTGATGGTATGGTTACTGAGCTATAAGCATGTTACTGTGATGGTATGGTTACTGTGCTATGAGCATGTTACTGTGATGGTATGGTTACTGCGCCATGAGCATGCTACTGTGATGGTATGGTTACTGAGCTATAAGCATGTTACTGTGATGGTATGGTTACTGTGCCATGAGCATGTTACTGTGATGGTATGGTTACTGAGCTATAAGCATGTTACTGTGATGGTATGGTTACTGAGCTATAAGCATGTTACTGTGATGGTATGGTTACTGAGCTATAAGCATGTTACTGTGATGGTATGGTTACTGAGCTATAAGCATGTTACTGTGATGGTATGGTTACTGGGCTATAAGCATGTTACTGTGATGGTATGGTTACTGTGCTATAAGCAGCATGTTACTGTGATGGCATGTTACTGTGATGGTATGGTTACTGTGCATGAGCATGTTACTGTGATGGTATGGTTACTGTGCTATAAGCATTGTTACTGTGATGGTATGGTTACTGAGCTATGAGCATGTTACTGTGATGGTATGGTTACTGCGCTATGAGCATGTTACTGTGATGGTATGGTTACTGTGCTATGAGCATGTTACTGTGATGGTATGGTTACTGAGATATGAGCATGTTACTGTGATGGTATGGTTACTGTGCTATGAGCATTTTACTGTGATGATATGGTTACTGTGCTATGAGCATGTTACTGTGATAGTATGGTTACTGGGCTATAAGCATGTTACTGTGATGGTATGGTTACTGCGCTATAAGCATGTTACTGTGATGGTATGGTTACTGCGCTATGAGCAAGTTACTGTGATGGTATGGTTACTGAGCTATAAGCATGTTACTGTGATGGTATGGTTACTGTGCTATGAGCCTTTAACTGTGATGGTATTTTTACTGTGCCATGAGCATTTTACTGTGATGGTATGGTTACTGAGCTATAAGCATGTTACTGTGATGGTATGGTTACTGAGCTATAGGCATGTTACTGTGATGGTATGGTTACTGCGCTATGAGCATGTTACTGTGATGGTATGCTTACTGAGCTATAAGCATGTTACTGTGATGGTATGGTTACTGTGCCATGAGCATGTTACTGTGATGGTATGGTTACTGTTCTATAAGCATGTTACTGTGATGGTATGGTTACTGTGCTATGAGCATTTAACTGTGATGGTATTTTTACTGTGCTATGAGCATGTTACTGTGATGGTATGGTTACTGTGCCATGAGCATTTTACTGTGATGGTATGGTTACTGGGCTATAAGCATGTTACTGTGATGGTATGGTTACTGGGCTATAAGCATGTTACTGTGATAGTATGGTTACTGCGCTATGAGCATGTTACTGTGATGGTATGGTTACTGTGCTATGAGCATGTTACTGTGATGGTATGGTTACTGCGCTAAAAGCATGTTACTGTGGTGGTATGGTTACTGTGCCATGAGCATGTTACTGTGATGGTATGGTTACTGTGCCATGAGCATTGTACTGTGATGGTATGGTTACTGCACTATAAGCATGTTACAGTGATGGTATGGTTACTGCGCTATGAGCATGTTACTGTGATGGTATGGTTACTGTGCTATGAGCATTTTACTGTGATGGTATGGTTACTGCGCTAAAAGCATGTTACTGTGATGGTATGGTTACTGTGCCATGAGCATTTTACTGTGACGGTATGGTTACTGTTCTATGACAGTGTGATGGTACTGTTACTGACCACGTAGGAAGACTTTCTCCTGGCGCACCAGATGCCAAGGATACCCGTGATAGAGAACTGTGGAGTAGAGGAAACATGGCTGAGGTCACACACAGGTTAGTAGAGCTTGGGGCTGAGGTCATACACAGGTTAGTAGAGCTTGGGGCTGAGGTCACACACAGGTTAGTAGAGCTTGGGGCTGAGGTCACACACAGGTTAGTAGAGCTTGGGGCTGAGGTCATACACAGGTTAGTAGAGCTTGGGGCTGAGGTCACACACAGGTTAGTAGAGCTTAGGGCTGTCATACACAGGTTAGTAGAGCGTGGGGCTAAGGTCACACACAGGTTAGTAGAGCTTGGGGCTGAGGTCACACACAGGTTAGTAGAGCTTGGGGCTGAGGTCATACACAGGTTAGTAGAGCTTGGGGCTGAAGTCACACACAGGTTAGTAGAGCTTGGGGCTGAGGTCATACACAGGTTAGTAGAGCTTGGGGCTGAGGTCACACACAGGTTAGTAGAGCTTGGGGCTGAGGTCATACACAGGTTAGTAGAGCTTGGGGCTGAGGTCACACACAGGTTAGTAGAGCTTGGGGCTGAGGTCATACACAGGTTAGTAGAGCTGGGGCTGAGGTCACACACAGGTTAGTAGAGCTTGGGGCTGAGGTCATACACAGGTTAGTAGAGCTTGGGGCTGAGGTCACACACAGGTTAGTAGAGCTTGGGGCTGAGGTCACACACAGGTTAGTAGAGCTTAGGGCTGAGGTCACACACAGGTTAGTAGAGCCTGGGGCTGAGGTCACACACAGGTTAGTAGAGCTTGGGGCTGAGGTCACACACAGGTTAGTAGAGCTTGGGGCTGAGGTCACACACAGGTTAGTAGAGCGTGGGGCTGAGGTCACACACAGGTTAGTAGTGCTTGGGGCTGAGGTCACACACAAGTTAGTAGAGCTTGGGGCTGTCACACACAGGTTAGTAGAGCTTGGGGCTGTCACACACAGGTTAGTAGAGCCTGGGGCTGTCACACACAGGTTAGTAGAGCTTGGGGTTGTAGTCACACACAGGTTAGTAGAGCCTGGGGCTGAGGTCACACACAGGTTAGTAGGGCTTGGGGCTGAGGTCACACACAGGTTAGTAGAGCTTGGGGCTGAGGTCACACACAGGTTAGTAGAGCTTGGGGCTGAGGTCACACACAGGTTAGTAGGGCTTGGGGCTGAGGTCACACACAGGTTAGTAGAGCTTGGGGCTGTCACACACAGGTTAGTAGGGCTTGGGGCTGAGGTTACACACAGGTTAGTAGAGCCTGGGGCTGTCACACACAGGTTAGTAGAGCTTGGGGTTGTAGTCACACACAGGTTAGTAGTGCTTGGGGCTGTAGTCACACACAGGTTAGTAGAGCTTGGGGTTGTAATCACACACAGGTTAGTAGAGCTTGGGGTTGTAGTCACACACAGGTTAGTAGAGCTTGGGGCTGTCACACACAGGTTAGTAGAGCTTGGGGTTGTAGTCACACACAGGTTAGTAGAGCTTGGGGTTGTAGTCACACACAGGTTAGTAGAGCTTGGGGTTGTAGTCACACACAGGTTAGTAGAGCTTGGGGTTGTAGTCACACACAGGTTAGTAGAGCTTGGGGTTGTAGTCACACACAGGTTAGTAGAGCTTGGGGCTGTAGTCATACACAGGTTAGTAGAGCTTGGGGCTGAGGTCACACACAGGTTAGTACAGCTTGGGGCTGTCACACACAGGTTAGTAGAGCTTGGGGCTGAGGTCACACACAGGTTAGTAGTGCTTGGGGCTGAGGTCACACACAGGTTAGTAGAGCTTGGGGTTGAGGTCACACACAGATTAGTAGAGTAGAGCTTGGGGTTGTAGTCACACACAGGTTAGTAGAGCTTGGGGCTGAGATCACACACAGGTTAGTAGAGTAGAGCTTGGGGCTGAGGTCACACACAGGTTAGTAGAGCTTGGGGCTGAGGTTACACACAGGTTAGTAAAGCTTAGGGCTGAGGTCACACACAGGTTAGTAGAGCTTGGGGCTGAGGTCACACACAGGTTAGTAGAGCCTGGGTCTGAGGTCACACACAGGTTAGTAGTGCCTGGGGCTGTCACACACAGGTTAGTAGAGCCTGGGGCTGAGGTCACACACAGGTTAGTAGAGCTTGGGGCTGAGGTCATACACAGGTTAATAGAGCTTGGGGCTGAGGTCACACACAGGTTAAAAGTGCCTGGGGCTGAGGTCACACACAGGTTAAAAGTGCCTGGGGCTGAGGTCACACACAGGTTAAAAGTGCCTGGGGCTGAGGTCACACACAGGTTAGTAGGGCTTGGGGCTGAGGTCACACACAGGTTAAAAGTGCCTGGGGCTGAGGTCACACACAGGTTAAAAGTGCCTGGGGCTGAGGTCACACACAGGTTAGTAGAGCTTGGGGCTGAGGTCACACACAGGTTAGTAGGACTTGGGGCTGAGGTCACACACAGGTTTGTAGAGCTTGGTGCTGAGGTCATACACAGGTTAGTAGAGCTTGGGGCTGAGGTCATACACAGGTTAGTAGAGCTTGGGGCTGAGGTCACACACAGGTTAGTAGGGCTTGGTGCTGAGGTCACACACAGGTTTGTATGGCTTGGGGCTGAGGTCATACACAGGTTAGTAGGGCTTGGGGCTGAGGTCACACACAGGTTAGTAGAGCTTGGGGCTAAGGTCACACACAGGTTAGTAGAGCCTGGGGCTGAGGTCACACACAGGTTAGTAGAGCTTGGGGCTGAGGTCACACACAGGTTAGTAGAGCTTGGGGCTGAGGTCATACACAGGTTAGTAGAGCTTGGGGCTGAGGTCATACACAGGTTAGTAGAGCTTGAGGCTGAGGTCACACACAGGTTAGTAGAGCTTGGGGCTGAGGTCACACACAGGTTAGTAGAGCTTGGGGCTGAGGTCACACACAGGTTAGTAGAGCTTGGGGCTGAGGTCATACACAGGTTAAAAGTGCCTGGGGCTGAGGTCACACACAGGTTAGTAGAGCTTGGGGCTGAGGTCATACACAGGTTAGTAGAGCTTGGGGCTGAGGTCATACACAGGTTAGTAGAGCTTGAGGCTGAGGTCATACACAGGTTAGTAGAGCTTGGGGCTGAGGTCATACACAGGTTAGTAGAGCTTGGGGCTGAGGTCATACACAGGTTAGTAGGGCTTGGGGCTGAGGTCATACACAGGTTAGTAGAGCCTGGGGCTGAGGTCACACACAGGTTAGTAGAGCCTGGGGCTGAGGTCACACACAGGTTAGTAGAGCTTGGGGCTGAGGTCACACACAGTTTAGTAGAGCTTGGGACTGGGGTCACACACATGTTAGTAGAGCCTGGGGTTAGGCGTATTTAGATGTAGGTTACTGTACAATGGAACAGATAGTGTCAGTCGTATGTCTGATGATGTTAAACACACGGATACCGAATACCTCCAGACTTGGCAATAGTAGCAGTTGGTTTTGATCGGTACTACACGTGCTGACATAGATCCCAAAATATCACCTATTTCACATTACTTCACATCACTTCATATCACTTTACATCACTTCACATTATGTTGTTGTGGTTTTTTTGCCTCTTCAGTTTATTTGGCTGTGACGTGTAGTCGTTTCGATCAGTGGTTAGTTTTCAGTGACAAAACCGATCACAATAGAGTCCGTAGTACTGCTCTTTATACCACCTTTCCTAGCAGACCCACTCTCCAGTTCTCTGTGTTACCTCTGCTTACCTACCACTCTCATTCGTCACGTCCAGTGGTCCCAGTCTCCCATCCTCTGACATTAACCTACCACTCTCCAACGTCACGTCCAGTGGTCCCACTCTCCCATCCTCTGACATTAACCTACCACTCTCATTCGTCACGTCCAGTGGTCCCAGTATATCATCCTCTGACATTAACCTACCACTCTCCAACGTCACGTCCAGTGGTCCCACTCTCCCATCCTCTGACATTAACCTACCACTCTCCAACGTTACGTCCAGTGGTCCCAGTCTTCCACCCTCTGACATTAACCTACCACTCTCATTCGTCACGTCCAGTGGTCTTTGTCTCCTATCCTTTAATTGTCTTCACTCTCATAGCTATTCCCCAATCACCAGCCTGCCAGTGGTTCACTAGTGTCGCAAACCTGCCAGCGGTCACCCAGTGAGTGTGGCACAAACCTTTCAGCTATCACCCAGTGTCACAAACCTATCAGCGGTCACCCAGTGAGTGTGGCACAAACCTTTCAGCTATCACCCAGTGTCACAAACCTATCAGCGTTCACCCAATGAATGTGGCACAAACCTATCAGCTATCGCCCAGTGGCACAAACCTGCCAGCAGTATCCCAGTGAGTGTCACAAACCTGCTAGCAATCACCTAGTGAGTGTCACAAACCTGCTAGCAGTCACCCAGTGAGTGTCAGAAACCTGCTAGCAGTCACCCAGTGAGTGTCACAAACCTGCTAGCAGTCACCCAGTGATTGTCACAAACCTGCTGGTAGTCACCTAGTGAGTGTCACAAACCTGCTAGCAGTCACCTAGTGAGTGTCACAAATCTGCTAGCAGTCACCCAGTGAATGTCACAAACCTGCTAGCAGTCACCCAGTGAATGTCACAAACCTGCTAGCGGTCACCCAGTGAATGTCACAAACCTGCTTGCAGTCAACTAATGAGTGTCACAAACCTGCCAGCAGTCACCCAGTGAGTGTCACAAGCCTGCTAGCAGTCACCCAGTGAGTGTCACAAACCTGCTGGCAGTCACCCAGTGAGTGTCAAAAACCTCCTAGCAGTCACCCAGTGAGTGTCACAAACCTGCTAGCAGTCACCTAGTGAGTGTCACAAACCTGCTGGCAGTCACCCAGTGAGTGTCAAAAACCTGCTAGCAGTCACCCAGTGAATGTCACAAACCTGCTGTCAGTCACCCAGTGAGTGTCAAAAACATATCAGCGGTCACCCAGTGTCACAAACCTGTCAGCGGTCACCCAGTGAGTGTCAAAAACATATCAGCGGTCACCCAGTGGCACAAACCTGTCAGCAGTCACCCAGTGAGTGTCACAAACCTGCTAGCAGTCACCCAGTGAGTGGC